CGAGCCCCGGACCCGCGGGTCGAGGCTGTGTGCACGGGGACACGGGGGGACAGGGTGGGCGGGAGACCCTGCCAGGGCCCACGGGGCGTCTGTGACACACTGGCCGAGCTGGGCGTGAAGTGTGTGGAAGGCGTGTGTGGAAGGGGCCCGGGGCGGGACGGTCCCCTGCAGCACTAGCACTGTTCTGGGCTCCTCTAGTGTCCCTGATGAAGCAGCAGGAAGCAGACGCGTCCTCAGAAGGGGCAGCGCCTGTGCCCCCGATGGAAGGGGAGGGGCCCCACTGAGAGTCTGCTCTCTGCCGGGGCGGAGGCGCCGTGATGCCACGGGTCAGGGACTGAGGCCGGAGCACTCCACTGGCCCCAGAGCAGGGCACAGAGCCACGTGGCCCTGCAGCTCCTGTAGCAGGTGCAAAGAGCTGGAGCCACAGGTGTGGAAGTGGCCGTGGGCGAGCCTGTCCCCAGGTCCCACGGGACTGCTGCGTGGGACCCAGGTCAGAATCCTCTGCACTGGCCTGGTGCGGGAGGGGCAGGAAGGGGGCCCTGCTGGAGAAGGGGGGCGTCCAGCCCGCCCTGCGCTCCTCGGCCCTCTCGCTTAGGCTTCCACTATGCCGCTGGGGGTACCAGGCTCAGTAGGAACCCCTCCGGGAGCAGGAGCAGGGGTGCAGGCAGGCGCTCCCCTCACCCTGGCCTCCGCCTGAAGCCCCCGCCCCTCCTCTGGGGACCAGGCAGAGGGTCCTCCACTCATGTGAGGCTGAGCGGCCGTGGCCTGAGCCCGTGGTGCCCGCTGGTCGATGCATGTGCAAAGGAAGAGTGGGGAGCAGTGAGGTCCCTCGGCGCCCCAGCCCACTGTCCACCCGGCTGCACCAGGGGCTACTAGGAATCCTGGGCTGTCCTGCTGATTCTCCAGCAGTGGGGCCATTTGCCGAGGACAGATGGCGACAAAAAAGAAGAGAAACAGTATATTTTCCACCTGACTTCCCTCCAGGCTTCTGCCACACAGCAGGTCTGAAGTGTCCCGGGATGTCCCGGGGTGCGAATTCTCTCTTGACCCTCAGCGGGTCTGTGGCTGGCAGTGCATGTTACCAAGGGTTTCACATTTTGAGTTGGGGGCCATGTGTTTACAACAGGGATCCCCAAATCATCCCCATCAGTGGGGAGCCCCCATTCCTGTGACCTAGGCCTTCTGGCACCGGGAGTGCTGGGCCCCCTGGGGTTATAGTGGATTTGGGGGTGGGGCCCATGACCGAGGGATGCAGTGGCCCTCTCTCCAGGTGAGGGTGCTCACAGGCACCAGGCCACTGGCAGTCACGACCACAGGCTGCTGGCTCAGGCTGGGCTCGGCCCAAACCCCCGGCAAGCACGGTCTCCTCGACCCAGCTGTCCTTGTCACAGGACAGCCAGCCCTCTGAAAGGGACATCCAAAGGAGGGTCTGTTCAGGCTGCTGCAGAGAGCACTGTGGCCGAAGTCTCTGTCACCTCCCCTGTAGAGACCTTGTCCTCCTCACCTGTCCTGGGCCAAAGTGGGCCCAGCTCAGACACACACTCAACAAAGCAGGACACACCTGCCGTACACGCTCACCTATGCACACACACCACCCACGTGCCTGTCTGTACACACACACGCTACCCACACGCCTGTCTGTACACACTCACATCGCCCAAAGGCCTGTCTGTACACACACACGCCACCCACACGCCTGTCTGTACACACTCACACATGCCACCCACACGCCTGTCTGCACACACACACATCGCCCACAGGCCTGTCTATACACACTGTTAAGTTGACACCCACAAAATCTCAGTGGATCAGAACCTCACTAACCAAAGTTCTCCGCTGAACCAACCATGGTCTGGCTGCACTCAGAGGGCAGCGGATGCCAGAATCCAGGCCCACACCCACCCCTAACGGTGCACTGGGGTCACTTTTGCCCCCGAGGTCCTCCCGTGGGTTTCAGATTGGTCGGAGACATTGAAGGGGGAGTAGACCAAGCAGCGGCTGAAACCCCAGCACTGGGGTGGGGGGAGAAACGCCCATGAGCCCTGATCCCTCCACTTCCGGGACCCCTCCCCCGTCACCGAGAATGCTTCTGCAAGCAACTTAAGGGCTACTCCTTGGGAAAAGCCTCGATCGAGTACCTGGCAGACCTCCAGTTTCCATCTCTACAGCTGCGCGCGTGAGAACTGAGCCCTCGGCCCAGCTCCGCCGTGTCAGGGAGGCAGGGGCGGGCGGCGGGCCACTTACCCCCTCGGACTTCTTGTCGGGGAAGACGCATGTGGCCCCTCCAGCTGTGAAGTTGCAGTAAACTTTGAAGGAGTCCCTGGAGCAGCCTTGGTTCGGGTCCACCCAGTATTCACCTGGATGGGGGCGGGGGGCACGTGAGGACAGCGCCCTGGATGGTTCCAGAAGCAGCTGCACCATTTCAGTTCAGCAGCTAAACACGCGCCGGGCCCACACGCCACCAGCACGGGCCTCCCGGGGTCTGTGTGCTGCGGTCTGCTTTTCCTGCTGGGCCCCAAAGACGAGTGGGCAGACTCATCCCCAGAGCACGACTGGACGCAGGTGCGCGGGGCGCGTGCCTGGGGGCAGGGGAGGCGGGCCCCCGTGTGCGGTGGTGGCGAGGAGAAATGCTCATGCTCCCATGAACGCTTGGGAGCCCGCGAGCTGGGGTCAGAGTTGACTGGACCACGGCCGCGCAGGTCTTGTGGGAGACATGGGCAGACAGCGCTGGGCTGACACGGTGAGAACGGAGTGGTCTGTGACTTCATGACGCTTTGGAGTTTACATGGCGCGTTTGTTCCAAGCACGGCGTCCGATTCCGACGTTAACGCCAGCGCTAACCCTGACGCAGATACCCTGACAGCAGCAGCTGCGGCCGCCACGTGCCGCAGGGCTGGCTCGCTGTGCCCGGCCGAACGCATTTGCACATCGCCTCATCTCACTGTTCTTTGCTGTGTCAATGCCCCCATTGGACACACGGGGTGCACAAGACTCAGAGCAGAGCAAGCTGCCTGCGAGATGCTAAGCCTAGACTGGAACCTGGGGGACCCCAAAGTCTCGCACACTTTCCCCAGCCTCCCAGGATGTGTCCCAGTGTGAAGCCTCCGCAGGTTTCGGGGAGACGCCCAGGCCTCCCCACTGTGCAGATGGAAACGCCGAGGCTGGACAGGCCTGTGGCTGCCCCCGCCCTGCCCCTCCGCTCGCCCCACGGACCTCCGGCGTGCCGCCCCTACCGTCCGGGAAGTCGGGGTGGCAGAGCTGCAGGTCCTTGCAGGTCCGGGCTGGGTTCTCCTGCGTGCCCAGGGGCCGCTTCATCTGCTCGATCTCCAGCTTGAGCGAGTTGAGCGAGCCGAAGATCTCCTCCATGCCGTCCGCGTAGTCCACGTAGTTCTCGCCGTCCCCGTCGTCCAGCAGCTGGCTGGCGTCGATGCTGCGCCGTGTCCTGGACGCCTGGATCGGCAGGGGCTGGATGACCTCGCCTGGGGGGCCCTGGGGGTGGGACAGGACCAGATGGGTGCTGGGCCGCAGGCACCTGGCCATCTCAGCACGGTTCTCTGGCCTTTCCTACCGGTGGCACACTGCACACCCACCCCCTCTGCCCGGCCCTGCCTGCGTCACGCGTCTCCCTCCCCCGACCCGAGGTGCCCTGCGGGCCCAGCTCCGGCACCGCTTGGCCTCGGCTGCCTGTCCCCTGCAGAGCCCTCAGCGGCACATAGCCCAGCCTGGTGTTGGCATGTCCTGTCCTCAGCTAGACTCTCCTCTTGCCCCTGCCCCAGCCCGGGCTGCACACAGTGGGGCCACATTAATGCCTGGAATGCCATAAAGCTTCACTTCGCAGGGCTGTGTCTGGAGGCCCCCGCCAAGCATAAGGGCGAGAGCTGAGAGGCAGCACCGCCAAAGGGGGTGTTCCATGGTGTCGCTGCCGCGGCCTATCACGGGGCTCCGTCCTGCACCTCCGGGCCTTGTCTAGAGCTGTCCACCTGACGCGTGTGCGCGCACACACATGCACACACATGCACACACACAGGTACACACATAGACATGCATGCACACGTGCACAGGTACACACACGCACATCCACACGCATGCTCTCTCCCCTCCTCCTCTGTCTCTCTCACAGACGTCCCCGGGGAGGGAGCCTGGGGTGACTGCTTTCTCTCGGCTCCACCCCAGGGACAGGCCCCACCACGCCACGTGCCACGCGGGCTCCGTAAAGTCTCAGAACCCAAACAGCACACGCAGATCCTCCCGCGACGCCCTTGTATTAGGCAAAGCCCCGCCCAACTTCCAAGTCTTCGCGGCTGCTCACCGGTGGGCCAGGGGGTCCGGGGTGGCCTGCCTCACCCTTCGGGCCAGTTGGACCCTGGGTAAAAGAAAAGAGAACCCCCTATGATCACTGAGGCTGATGTGACTTAACCCCCCTTGAAGCCCAGGAGCCTGACGGCCTGTGTGGAGAGGATGTGGGGACAACTGACGTGCCGGGGGTGGGTCCAGGGCCCCTGTCGCCCCCCAGTCCCAGATGCCCCGAGAGGGGAGCTCAAGGACACAGAGTCCTTTCTGCAAGGCAGGGAGCAGCACCCCCGGCCCCTGGCCAGGGACGACTCAGGCTGGGAACAAGCTCAGGGCCACTCGGCAGGGGAGGAGCAGGGAGGACCGCAGATCGGGGAGGGTTCAGATGGGTCCCGCACGGGCCCACGCAGGTGCGTGCCACTCACCGAGGAGCCTTTAGTGCCTTTTGGACCAGGAGGGCCCTGCAGAGAGCGGGGGCAGAGTATTAGTGAGCAGGCGGCCCCTTCCCCACCGGACATCTGCCTTTGACCCAGTCCTGCTCAGGCCTGGCCTGGTCTCCACCCCTCCTCGTGCCCCTGTCTCCCACTCCAGGGGTCCGGGAGGGTGGGGAGGGGGCTGGGTGTGGCTGGTGCTCCCCATGCGGAGGCGGAGCGGGTCCTGTCCGCCCCAGCTCAGCCCCCACCCTCGCCAGCCAGGAAGTCACCGGTCAGGCAATAGAGTCCAAGGTGAGATAGGCTGTTGTCCTCAGGCCCCACTCAGAGCCGCCCAGCCTGCAGCCCCGGCCAGCATTGGTCGGCCAGGGCCACCCTGGCCATGGGCACCTGGGCCCAGGTGAGCATGGAGGCTGATTGGGCAGGACAAGTAGAGGAGGTCACAGGGACTCCAGTCTTTAGAGCGCTGGGCCTCCCAGCAACACGGCAGCCCCCGGCTGAGTGCGTCGGGGATGGGCCCAGCTCCGCAGGAGGGTGGGGGGCTGGCCACTGCTCTCTTCACCCGGGGTTGAGCAGCCCTGAGATGGAGGTACCCGCCCGGCCCCCTCACCTGAAGCCAGGGCCCAGAGACCCACTTTCTGCGGCCACTTGGAACCCCAGTGGCAGTTAATGAGCAAACCCACCCCGGGGCCCGATCCCGAGACCTCACACTGTCCTGTGATGCCCACGGCCGGCCCGCCCACCTCCCTGCTCTCCCAGCAACCGTCGGGGTGCCATGCACCCCTCCCAGATACACACCGGCAAGCCAGGAGGGCCTGGGGGGCCGATCGGGCCTGAAGGACCAGTGATACCCTGCAGAGGAGCAGAAATGCAGTCACTGTCACCGTCCACACAGCCACGCCTCGGTTCACGTGAGTCTCCCCCTACCGGCCGCCCTGCGACAGGGCCAGGAGCGGCCTCACGTACCTGTTCTCCTTTGGGGCCCGAGGAACCCTGTGGGCCGGGGAGACCGCGGTCACCCTTTTCACCCTGCTCACCCGGAGGGCCAATGAGTCCGATCAGGCCTGGGTGACCCTGTTGGGAAGAGAGGCATGCAGGGGTGGTGGTGGCAGCAGTGCCTGTCGGCCAGCCTTGCAGGCCCGCTGCACGCGGCAGCTCGTCCGCGGCTCAGGATGCCTCCGAGTCAGCGGCCACGTCTCCCCGAGACGGAGCACGCCCGAAGGGCAGGTCGGGGCAGCGGAGCAGCGCTGACTGGTGGAGGCCCCACCTAGGAGGCGGAGACACGCGGGCAGGAGGGCCCCGAGGGACGACGCGCACACGCGTCTTTTTACTGAGATGAGTTTCTCAGCTCTCTGTGGAGGACGTGCCTTCTGCTGCCAGGGACAGAATGGCATGTGGGGACTCAGCTGGAGAGAAAGTCACAGGCTGTCAGAGACACTGTAACTACAACGTTTCTTTAAGAGAAAAATCCCCTACGTATGCTCAGGTGAGGTTGTTTTCTATGAGCCTGTAGAAAGTTCTGGAAGGGTTCCTCCCGCCCTCGTTACTCTGCGGCTGCGCTGTGTGGGGGTGGGCGTTGAGCGGGGAGACTCCATGCTGCCTCCTTTCTACGCAGCTGTCTGGCATGTGAGCGTTACGTTTGTAAGTTCGTCACTGTCAGCAGAAAGGCCACCCCATCAGAGAAAACGGGATGGTGTTTACCCCACAGGGCTCCCCACACACTCCCTGTAGGCAGGATGGGGAACCCAGGTCCAGAGCGAGTGTCGGCTCCTCGGGTCCTGAACGCCCTCTGGCCGGGACCTCTGGGCTCTGTGGGTCTCTGTGGGTCTCCGTGGGTCTCACGGGTCCCCAGCGGGGGGTGGGGCACGAGTCACAGATGGTTTCTGTGTCAATAGTTCTGGAGTGTGTCACTAGCTCTGGGGTGCTCCCCAGCCTGCAGTGAGCACTTGCCAAATGTGGGCGACGGATCAGCAGCATGGGTGTTTGGAGGGCCCCGAGTCACAACCACAGAGGCCCCTGGGAGCCGTCTCACCTTCTCCCCTTTGGGGCCAGAATCTCCTTTGAGGCCGGGGAGTCCTGGGGGGCCCTGTGGGAGGAGGCAGTGGGGTCAGTCGGGTTCCCTTCCCAATCCCACCCCACCACTGCTGGGGCCCCTCGGGATGTCACTCACCATGGGGCCGGGGGGTCCGTCGGGGCCTGGGGATCCCGGGAGACCTTGTTCACCCTGAAACACAGCCGGCCCTCCGTGAGCCCCGCCCTGCCCCGCCATGCCTGCCCGTGCCCGTCCCCACCCCACCCCCGCCCCCCAGGTCCACTTACCACGGGGCCCGGGATCCCTCGCAGGCCATCTGGCCCGGGCTTCCCAGGGGCGCCCTGGGGGCCGATGGGGCCAGTCTTCCCAGGAGGGCCTTCCAAGCCAGCTTCCCCCTGCAGGGCAGACAGGCGGACGGGGGGGCTCTGGTCCCGGTGGCCCAGGCCACCGCTCAGAAACCACAGGGAGCCTTGGCGGGAACCCTGGACACCCCCAGGCACCCGCGGGCTGCCCCTGTTCCCCACATTCCTGTGGAGGCCGCCTGGCCCATTCACCCCACTGCCCAGTCTCCAGTGACCACACCAACTCCCGCCACGGCAGTCAGAGCCACGTCGGTCCCGGCCAGCCCCGAGCTTGCGGTGGACATGCCACCATTTCCTGAGCAGGCACCGGGCTGAACCATTCCCGGGTGACACCACCTGGGGGGGCCTGGGAGAGCAGCCCCAAAAGTGCTCTGGGTGTCCAGCTCCACACCGACTGCACGGTGGCCCTGGCATCCCCTCGTCCCCTCAGCCCCTGGTAGGCACGGCTGAACGCCGGGCCCGAGATCACACAGCACCGGGGTCTTCGTGACTCCAGTGCCTGCTCCCCTCCCTCAGGCTGGCGGGACAGACAGACCCGGGGGATCCCGGAACCCAGTGCCCACGGGCTCCACCAAGCTGCCTCCATGCTGGACGTGCCCGACTGTCCATCCCAGGTTCACAGCGAGAGCCAGGCCTCCCTGCTCCCTGCCTCTGATCTCCCTGCGTCACACGTGTCTGCGCCCCGCCCCCCGGGTCAGCCAGCAGGCCGGTGGCCCTCTGGGAGCCCCATGCACAGGAACAGCCGGGCTGAAGCACGTTACCTTGGCTCCCTTCTCTCCCTGTCTGCCTTCAGGGCCTGCAGGCCCCGGGGGACCCTAGAACAAGCGAGAGAGTGACACATGACGAGCTGGCTCACGGAAGCTGAGGGCTGAGCTCAGTGTCTGGGTGCAGACAGGCTGGGGCCCGGAGGCGCGTGCAGGTCGCTTCTGGACCCTGGGCCAGCACGGACACAGGCCCTCGGAACACGCCAGAACGACTCTAGGCTGGAACAGGCCGCTCTCAGGGTCAGTGAGGAGAGGTGCTCTGGCTGCCGTGAGTTTTGGGGGGCTGGCTCTTTCTGGTCACATACCCTGCAGCTCAGTTTACTGCAACACCACCAACAGATTATTCAATGTGCAAAGAAACGCCTGTTAGCTTGTTCTTGCTTTTCAAAAGGTCTGACTCAGAGAAAAGGGTTTTTCAGCTTCATGGGTGTTTTTCTCCTACGATGGCTGTTATAGTGGTGTCTGCACTTGGCGGCTTCTGGAAGGATCAGGGGCGTCGACCTAGGGGTCTGGGATCTGATGACATGCGGGGAGGCCAAGAACACGCTTGAGCAGGAGCGTTTCCGGTGCCGGGGCCCAGGCTGGGCGGGGAGGGAGGGGCCCGCTCCACGCAGCAGGCTGGCAGGCAGGACATGCCTGCAGAGCTATTTACCCTTTTTCCTGGAGGCCCGGACGGACCTGGTTCGCCAGTGGGGCCTGGGGATCCCTGGTGTTGGAGAAAGAACACAGAATCAGGGACTGGGGTCGAGACAGGAGGGCGCGCCAGGCCAGGGTGGGTCTGAAGCTGACGGAATGCGCTGAGCGCCCGACCAGCCTGTCCCCGGCCGGCCCTGACGCTGCCTCGCTCCTCTGGAGCCAGCACACGACGCCCTAAGTGACGTCGTCTGGCAGTTCTCGGCTCTGGTCCTGACCCCCGTCCTCACTTCTCGCTGCATTTGGGGGAGAAAGCCCCACCCCCTAGCAACAGCTGACACTCACGACAAGCTCCACCCACAACGCCGCCGTCCAGCTCCACAGGTGTGGACGCTGAGGCACGGGGAGGACAACTGTCACCTCAGGTCACAGGCCGGGTCCTTGCGGTAGAATCGCAGACAGCTCTCCAGGGCACCTGGCCTCAGAGCTGGTGACCCGACGCTGCCTTTGGCTGCTGCTCACCTAAAGCCACCGACGTTGGCCTGTGCCCACGGGGAGGCAACCCCAGCAACACTGGCCATGTGGGTATGGGGTGGGGGGAGGGGAAGCCATGAAGACTCGGGGTCGTCCCCAGGTGGAGTCGCACGTAGGGGCCCACTGGGGTCAGTTCCACCCCAGAGACTTGGTCCGAAGCAACGTTTCAAAAACTCAACATCAGGGGTAAGAGGAATCGTCTAGATGTTCTCAGCTCAAGAGGCCAATGTGCAAAGAGCTTTTCCGAGGAGACATTTGACGGATTAGCAGAAACGAGGTGGGGCCAGGGCTGGTGGGGGTGAGGCGGGGCCTCCCTGGGGGCCAACTGCGGGTGTGCCAGGGGGGCCGCTGCCCGTCACGGGCACGTCTCAGTATCATAAGGCAAACCAGCTTGGGTTTTTCTCAGAAACGGAAAAAGCAAGTTGAGAACCCCAAGGATGCACCGACGCCCCCACCGGCGTCCCGGAGGGCATGGTGGACTCACCGTCTGCCCAGCCTCGCCATCGTCTCCTTTGTCTCCAGGGGGACCATCTTGACCCTGTGGGGACAAAAGCAAGTTCCTTCACCCTCCTGGATGGTACATGAGTCCGTGTACTGACACCCAATGCTCCCTCGTCCCATCCCCAAATCCAGCGCTATCGGGCAGGACCGAGACACGGTGCCCCTAAGGGGGACATCTCTCTCCACTTGGTCACCAGACCGATGCCATTTGGAAGTGCGTGTGCCACACAGCGAGTTCACAAGAAGGAAGCACCCCAGAGAGACCAAAGGCAGGTGGATGCACAGGGGACCGAGCGGCTCTGCGGCTGAGGACACCTACCGCGGGGCCGGGCTCTCCGGGGGGACCGGGGTCTCCGGGGAAGCCGACGGGACCCTGAAACGGGAGAGGCAGGGCCGGGCCGTCAGCACGCCACCCAGCCGTCACGGCGACAAGCCAGTCCCTGCCCACCACCCCGAGAACAGTCTCACAGCTCCGACACCACAGTGCCCTTTGCAGCCCAGAACCTTCTGCAAACATCATTGCGTGTGGGTCCCGTAACAAGCCTGAGAGCGGCGGGGCGGAGGACCCGGGCAGGGGGGACGCGCCCTCCCGCTTTCCAGAGGCCACGCCACCTGTGCCCACACTAACGCTCCTGAGCTCCAGGCTGAGACTGGAGCCTGAGCCTCGCAGACATGCTGTACCCTCCCGAGGCCCCGCCAGGGCAGGCCACAGGATGGGCACCCGCAGGCCCCTCCACACCTGGGACCAGGGGCCCTGCCCCCCCAACCCCGCCTCCCCCACTCCGCCTCCCTCTCCTCCCCTGTTTGCGCCCAGTAGCAGATGCAAAACCTCTACACTAGACAAGCGTCCCCAGGACACTGCAGACGCAGGGCCCACCCCAGCCGCGGGGCCCACCCCAGCCGCGGGGCGCCTGCAGCATCTCTGGGCTACTCACGGGGCTGCCTTTGGGGCCGTCGTCTCCGGGGGGCCCTTTGGGTCCAGGGGGCCCAGCGGCACCGGAAGGCCCAGCCTCGCCCTTCTCTCCCCGTTCTCCTTTGGGTCCCTGCGGGGAAAGGCCAGGGTCTGTGTTCCCGGGGCCGACCTCACAGCTTCCGGGAGCGAGGTGCCGGCCCTACGTGCACCACTGCTGGCGTCACGTGGGGGGTGGGATGTGCGCATCCTTCCTCAGGTGTCCACTGGGCCGTGGGTACCTGCAGCTGCTCGCTCTCCCCAGCCTGGCCCTGAGGGCATCACCAGGTGGCTGAGGAACCCACTGGCTTTCCCAGGCCCTTCGAGGCCAAGACTCCGCCGCTAGGCTGGACGGACCGACCCCTGGGCTAGACAGTGGGCAGCGCAAGCCGTGAGGGGCCCACGCGTCTGTGGGTCACAGGTGGATGGAGCAGCTTGACGCCCAGGAGAGCTCTGTCTGCCTCTGGGGCCCAAAACCCCCCACAGGCAGGCCTGAAAGGCCGCTCATCTGAGCTGCGGGGGTCTGAGCACCGTGGCTGACATGGGGACAACAGGCACCCACATGGACAGCAGCCTGCAGAAGGACCTGGAACACCGCAGACGGCAGAACAGCTCGGAGGCACTGGCCGTGGGTGTCCATCGCTAACTTTTGCACACACACGCACACGCACATGCACACACGCACGCGCATGCACACGCATGCTCACGCCCTTCAACTCTTTTCTTACAGCGATCCCATGAGGTGGGCAGAAGAGACAAGGTCCTGTTTCACGGATGGGACACTGGGGCACACCCCGCCCAGCCCATCCACGGCCCCCTGCGTCCCCGGAGCCGCTCACTCACCGGGGGGCCCCCTTCTCCAGGCAGGCCAGGCTCCCCGGCTTCACCAGGCTCACCCTGCGGAGAAAACATGGTGGTCACGGCAGTGACTAGAGCAGCGGCTCCAGCGTTGAGCATTTACCGACTCCTTCCTGACGGCGGGCACCAGGGCGGGGGGAGGTGACACAGCGGTCACTGTCCTCTGACCGCACGCGGCACGGGAGGTGAGGCACGTGAGAAGCCCAGCGGTCACGGTCGGGGTGAAGCAGGGACAGCGACAGACACACGCACGTGATGGACACACGTGCACGGCAGGCGTCAGTGTCGGCGGCCTTCCCGAGGTGAGTTGAGGACGATTTCGAGAACAGGTGGGTGAGCGGGGTGGGAGAACACGGCAGGGGGCGAGGCGGGAGGGGGCGTGTGTGCTGGCGGCAGGTGGAGCCGGGACGTGGGTCCGACGCAGGGCAGTGGGACAAACGCCTCTGAACCAGGCTGCGCCTCGGTCTGCGGGCTGAGCAGGGTGCGTCTCCCTGTCATTTCCACACCATAAAAAAACGAGCGGTGATGGAAAACTCTCAATTGAATGGCCGATGCCTGAAAGTTCTGGAAATGGCGTCCAGGGAATGAATGCAAACGGACGGAAGCACATCACATCCTTCCTTTCAACCCGAGGA